AATATGACTGAAAAATTTCATTTTTTTTCTGAAAAGGTGGTGTTTATTTACTTGTGACCACGCTGTGTATATTGTTTTGTGTCTAAAGTACAAGCAGCATTAGCTTGGACAATTGTCTATCTGAGGAAGGACGAAGATCTAGTGTTGTTTTATAATTATGGATGATTTGTTATCCAGCTTTGCCATCCAATGATCATCAGTGCAGTAAGTAAAGTAGAGACAACTAAAACTAGTAGTGATACACACACCATATTCAAAAGTAAATAGACCACTGACACCACATCTGAGATCACTGATGTAGGGTTGTTCAAACAAGCTGGATCCAGTGCAGTGAAAAAACTCAGTGGTTTGTTGATTGAATATGAGAGGACTTGCTGCAGTGGAGTCCTATGAGGAGGATTTGTGGTGATTATAGACCAAGCTGGCTGACACCAAGAAAGTCCTAACCAAAAGTTAACATGTTAAAGAACCATTAAATGGTCAATTGGAAGACCACTTCCACACTGGAGGATCTACTTGTGGGGTTGAGGTGAGAGAGAGAGCATAGTCTTGCACCAGCATTGGGTAAGTGTACATATTTTATATATTATTTCTGTATTCATTTATATTAGTGTATATGTTGTATATGTAACCATATATTTCAGTTTTTTTGGTGTGTATTTTGCATTTATTTAATATTATTGTCTTTTTTTTATGTGTATCCAGTCAACCTGTATATGTCTAGACATAAAACGTAAGGTTAATGCTGCACATGCATAATCGCATAAAAATTATTCTTACTCAAACATATATGTATATATACATAAAGACCTCACAATTTTTGAACGTGTCATGAAAGAGCTGTTACAAAATATTCTGTGAAGTTTCATTAGAAGTAAAATAATGAGCATTATCAATAAAATTAAAACCAGCTAAGACAACCAAACTATGTTTTTAAATAAGAATTACAAGAACACAGTATCATATTGATATGTAATAAATATTCTAGTTAATTCTTTGTCATATTTTTTCGTCTACCACACTAAACTGCAGATGAAATCTAATGCATCAGTGCCATGTAACACGGTTTGAGAGCCCATGTATTAAATAAATTGTTTTGTGTCTTAAAACCAAGCAGCATTAGTTTGGCAACTTTTCTTTCTGAGGATAAAGCTTTGTTTATGAAATGTAATTAAGGTTATTCCTGAATTGTATTTATATGATCATTTTCATTTTATTAACAGTTGCTTTATGAAGTTTTTATATAGATGACGCTGCAAATACTTATCTACAGACGCCAGAGCAATCAAAGTCTGTGACACTGGCTTGAAAATGCCGAATTAAAATAAAGGAGGATAAGCTTATCGTGTTTCTGTTGCGTGATAAGTAACTGTTAGTACATAAGCATAGCTTAGTGTACGTATTTTACATAGGTTAATTTTCGGTTATTGCTTCACAGTTTATGATGTTAGGAATAAGGTATTTTATTTTAAAATAAATTGGATGCTTTTTATTTGTTGTATTAACCTTTTTTTTTTTTAGACAATATCACTATCACTTAGTATTGGTATCACTATCAGTATATGCTATAGCTAATAATATTAATAATAATATGTAATTTAATCATCGACTTTATTATTAACTCTGATATTCAGTTCTGTTACTTTTAAATTTTAACTGTTATTATGCTCAGACCTATTTGTACTGTATTTAAATTTCAAGAGTTGTACAAACTATATTTGGTTATGTAATTTTCAGTGTATGTATGTATGAAAAATTAGAATGGTGAAAAAATTTAAAGAGAGAATTTAATTTTACAGATAACATTTAGTCTGTTTCCAGAACAGTTTTGGATGCACAAGACTTTCCACATAGTTACTATGTAACTAAGTCTTGAAAGATAACTTTGTATGTGTTTACTATAAGAAAAGTATCCCTTGCACAAATATAATCTTCAGTTAGTTTTATCACCTCTTCTAATAGTGGCCAAAAAGTGTCGTTTTTGACTCTGTCAGTTAAAATTTTGATATTTTAGTTGCTGCTACTATTTTTTACATGTTGCATGAGACCATTAGCTAAACTTGGTCAGACATTTTTGCACATATTTCCTGTTGAATAGAACTAGGAGTGAGCTGTTTATTAAATGTCCCTCGCACAGTCTAAAAGAGCAAGAGTGAGCCACTTAGTAATTTAAATTTTAATGTATCTATTTTAAGTATTAATTTTGTTATCATTAGATATTAGCAAGTTGGACAACTTGGGTGGACCAACAAGTCCCTTGACTCATGTTGTAATGGGCAAACCATATCATTTTTAACATACACTAAAATGTAAAAGAGAAACAAGGTGTTTTGTCGTTCAAGGTTGTCCTTGCACCCCTGCCCTTGAGAAAAGTAAAAATTTAAACCCACCTTGTACTTTTAAAAAACACTACCAGTTCCTCTTGTAAACTCTTGTAAACTCCTATAAATTACTGACATTTACTGCTGCTGAAAACAACTCATTTCATAAGTCAGCCATCTTAATAGAAAAATAAAACTGTCGTAACTGAAGCCTAGCCTTTCTTTTCCAAATCTTAAACTTGTGTCTTTTCATTCTGACATATTCAGATCACAACATAAAGTAATCAGAGACCTTTAACCTATTGATTTCTTGTATAATCCTGTAAACTTAAATAAGATCACCTTTAATCCTGCTTTTCTCAAGAAAAAATATGAGATCTTAACCTAGTCCTATAAGATAAATCTTCCTGGTAGCCCTCCCCTAACTAGTTATTTTGTATAGAGACAATTACCTATTTCAAGTTGTAATCAGTATTACACCTTAAAATACTATTAGCTTTAGTTCTAACAACCAAACACTGCTTAAATGTCTTTAATGACTTATCCATCACTATTGGGTAGGTTCCTATAAATATTAAATAAGGGACTGCAATTGTGACCATTCAAACTCTATCTTGCACTTACTATAAAAAAAGGGTCATTTCCCAATATTTGTTCAACGTAACAATTAATCCAAATCATACTGTAATACCTCAACATTGTCATTACACCTAGAAATACTCAACAGTTAGATGTCATACTTTACTAATTACAGCAGTAATTATTAATAACAACCTTCTGCTTTCTCCCATCAAGACACCCTAAAATGCAATTAACTAATTTTTCCAACTCCTACCTATGTGATTTTCTTAGCCAATCCTTTTTGTGTTATGTCATTACACACTTTCCCTCATCAGTTAACATTCTTCATAAAATATAACAGTTTAGAAGGCAAGAAGTCCCTCTGGTGAATACATTTACAAGCTCAGCCATCACAAATACCTTGCCATCAGCATTCTTGAAGTATCCAATCCATATTTCAGCACTTTGCATATATTTATCACACTTAAAACAAATTCTTGCTCTTAGTTTTAACGTTATCAGCCAGCTCTTTCTAATAAGTCCTTTTGGATTTTCTAATTTCATTTTTAACCAAATTCCAGTAAATTTTACAACTTATCTTGTAATTTAAAGTTTTTAAATATAAAACAAAAATAGATGCATTTCTTATCAAAAATGACGTTAATACATCTATTAATGTACTATGAATTAATATTGTATGTCATTATGCTAGAAAATAATTGATATAAATAATACTGGACAAAATTCATTTAAAATTTAAAGAATTGTAAAATAGTAATATTGTCCACTACAGCATCTTCTAATTTAAAGTATCCCTTTGTGTGCAGGAATACTGTATCATTTTAAGTATTTGAAAAATTGTTTCAAACAGAAATAATTATTGATAGTCAAGTATTTATTCAAAATCATTACAATTGTATTTTTAAACAAATAGAAATACACTTGTAAGTGATTAGGATAATTGCAGACTACTTAATGTCTTCTAAAATTAATAAAAGACATACTCTGATGTTTACAATAGTAAGAAACTTAACTAAATACAGCAGTAATTAAGTTATAATTTCACAAATAACCATTTTTTTCTCACTTAATTTTTTAAGATAAACATTTATTTGAAGGCAATAACTTGTGCTTTTTTTTATTTTTATACTTTGTTCTCAGTTTTTTTCTAAGGAAATATTTGAAAAACAAGTGTGTATAATGCAACATTGAAGACCATTGTCTGGAACCATCTGGTCTGGGTGTTCCTTTTGAATAGCAAGCAAGCAAAACTCCTGTAAGTTTATCATCATTTGACTCTTCAGTGTCTCTCTCTCTCTTAAAATGAAAACTACAAAAATCAGCTGACAGTATTACCCCATTTTAATTTCGGAGGATGCATTTCATTCTGCAAGACTTCATTCCCTAGCATAACTCTCATTTTTGTGTTTGAAATAAGATTAACACAGTGTTTGAAACGTTAGTATAAAGATTCGCTTCAGCATTATCAAGTCATAACACATAATCCCTACACAGATTCATCTTCATTTCTCAGGCCCAGTTCAAATCTCTTCTGTCTTCACTGATGTTTGTGGTGTAAGGTGTCAGAATTCAGCCATGATCTTCCTTTTAGAAAGGCCGATGTGCTATTTACTCATCCATGGTCTCTTTCCCCATTAGGGCTTGGATTAATTAATTTTTAAAAAGACATATCCATTATCTAAGTTTCAATGATTCTTGTGTTAACTGAATATTTTATCAGTTAAATGTATGTAGAAGACATTTATTAGCTTTATTTGTTATTGAATGTGGTTCATATCCCATTATTTTAGTGTATTGTAATATTACATTTTTATTATATGGTCTCCTTTGACATGATGTAAGAAGGGGTCCCGCGATGGGTTTGCAGTAAGTTTACGGACTTACAGTGCTAAAATACGGGGTTTGTTTCTCCATAGTGGACACAGCAGATAGCCTGACATGCTTAGCACTAAACAAACTTACATGATAGGTTATTGTACTGTTTTTATTAAATTTGAATGTGTAGTAACTAATGCATTTTGTGACATTTGAATTTTTCATTTCCTTAATAGGTACCGTGTAATATAAGCATTTCTAGTAACTGTCATTATTAATTATGAGCAAGAAAACACTGCAGAAAGGAATCTTAGGGGTAAAGCGGGATCCAAACAAACCGTTGCTTTTCAGCTTTGGAGGTGAAATGTGGCCATCTGATGATTCTGATGACTCTGATTTCTCAGTGGATAGTAATTCACATAGTCTGAGGTAAATAGTTGACAGAGTGCCTTGTCACTTCTGAATATTTGTGGTACAATTAGAAATGAAAAATATATTTAATAGTGTGTATTTCTTGATGACACTTTAAACAGTGAATGTTTTAAAATATTGTATTTGGTAAGAAAACTGACCATATAACGAAATGTAAAAAATTCCTTTTAAAAAACTTTAGATAATTAGAAATATGGTAACAAAAAATCTGATGAAAGTGACTTTTTATTAGAAATTAAAATATGAAGTTTTACATATTTGAGTTGATACTAAATGAACCCACAAAACAATCAACAAATCTACATTTTAAGCAAGATATTCAAAAAGAACAAAGAAAATTAAATGGTTCAGACTGAAAAGTTAATTTTTCTAAAAGTAGTTTGAACAATTTTCTTAAAGTAACATTTAAAAGGACTCCCTATGATTTTTTGTGGATTGTCCTTATTCAGTTAGAGGCACTTCAGCATTGATCCAAGTATAGTTTATGAACATAACATTTAAGGATAACAAGAGACCTAGTCATCCATCTTAGCTGTCCCATCTACTAAACTAAACTGAAGCGAAGAAAAAAAACTCAAATATACCTTAAACTCAAATATACTGCTTCTGCCACACTGAAGGCATCCCATTCCAAGGGTCAACTACCCTGTTAGAAAAATAAAACTGCCTTAGCTGAAGATGGCTCCTGCCCTGCCAAAATTTATATTTGTGCCTCCTAATCCTGCCATTCTCACCATTAAGTAAGAAAAAATATGACGCATCAATACTTTCAATTCCATTTACAATCTTAAACACCTCACTCAGATCCCCCCTAACTCTTCTTTTTTCAAGAGAAAACAATATGAGAGATCTCAACCTCTCCTTGTATGACAACCTCTCCATCCAAGGCACCATTCTACTAGCCCACCTATGAATCCTTTCCAACAATTCAATGTCCATTCTAATGTAAGGAGCCCAACGCTGAACACAATACTCCAAATTTCACCTAACCAGTGACCTATACAACGAAATTATAACCTCTTTAGACTTGTATTCAATATTTCTGTAGATACAACCTGAAATCCTGTTTGCCCTACCACTAGCAACAGCACACTGCTTGGATGGTTTAAGAGACTCATCAACCATTATGCCACGATCCCTTTCTTTCATGACACTGTTGAGGTTATTCCCATCCAAGTTATACTAATAATTCAAATTATGATAACTCGTATACATTATCTTGCATTTATTATAATTAAAACTCATCTGCCATTTATTTGCCCAAATCACTAAATGATCTAAATTATTTTGTAAAACAGCAGCATCCTCTTCACAGCCAGCAACACCCAAGACCTTAATATCATCAGCAAATTTAAGTAATTTATTGACTATTTCTTCAGTTATGTCATTGATGTAAATCAAAAAGAGCAAAAGTCCTAAGACTGAGCCATGAGGTACCCCACTTGTGACATTAGTGTAATTTGACTGAACTCCATTTATAACCACCTTCTGCTTTCTTCCATCTGGCCACTCTTCTATCTACCTTATCCCCCACACTTATAGAGAGATTTTTTTTATAAGCCTTTTATGTGGCACCTTGTCAAATGTTTTCTAAAAATACAGATACACCATATCTACACCTTAACCTCATTTACATAAGTAGTAATCTTTTCAAAGAATATTAAAAGATTTGTAGGGCCAGATTTTCCCTTAGTGAAACCCTGTTGAGTATCCAATAAAATTCTAAACTTTGTTAAATGACTTTGCAAAGCATCTTTTATCAGCCTATCCAAAACTTTTCCCACAGCTGATGTAAGACAAGTATGCCTATAATTACGGGGACAATTTTTATCACCTCCTTTGAATATTAGCTATCTCCCAATCCTTTGGCACCTGCCCAATATTTAAGGACTTAGAAAAAAACATAGCAAGTGGTTCACATATCCATTCCTTAACCTCCTTCAAAACCCTTGGAGAAATATCTGGATCAGGAGGCTTATCATTCTTTAAACTTCCCAACTTTTTCTTACGAAGCTCAGAATTAATGTGATTATTTTGTTTGATCTTATTTTCATTTATCAGCTGTTCAGGAGGAGGATTATTGCTCAAATCTTCATTAGTAAAAACTGAAGAAAAAGCAGAATTTAGTAACCAGTCATCTCATAATAATCGGATACGAGCCTTCCTTTATCATCCTTCAAACGTCCTACCCCATCGAACAGGGAGACTTAAAAATATATGATAACATTAGTGAAGGGAAGAGGTGTCACATCCTAACATTTTCCTTACCCTTTAATACATTTTAAAAAATTGTTACTGTTAATTTTTGTTTTCAGTCAACAAATTTTTCATGCATCCTCTTTGATGTCCTGATTTCCTGTTTGACCAACTCTCTTGATCTTCTGTAATCTTCCAAATCTCCTGTCATACCAGTCAATTTAAATTTGTGATACTTTTCTTTAATTTTATACCTTATACCCTTTATGAACCAACCTGGTTTTGTACTTACAACCAACCTTTTCTTTCTGTAAGGAACATGTTTATCTTGAATATTTAAATATTTATATTTAAAAATTTGCCATATTTTATTAGTGTCTTCAAATAGCTCAGCTGCCCAATTCACGGCAGATAATTCTTGTTGCATCCCTTCAAAATTTGCTTTTTTGAAATTTGTAACCAAAATGTCATAATTTCTGATATCCATGTACAGCAAAGCAACAAATCTAATAGAGAAATTATCACTTGCACTCAGATATTCTTCAATTTCCACCCTCTCAGCTATTTCTATATTACAAATTAACAATAAATCTAAAATAGCATTATTTTTAGTTGGTTCTTTGACCAAATGGTGAAGAAAACCAACTTGAACAGTTTCCAAAAACCTGTCTCCTCATGGTTAGATTCTTAACATTTCTCAATCTTTATGCCTGAAATTAAAATCATCCATAATTACGACCTCATTAACAGCTAAAATCTTAATCTTTGTGTAAAGTTTCTCAATTTCATCAGTATCATCTGGTAGTCTATAACAAATTCCCACTAAAAGCCTTTTCCCTTTATATCCATTAACATAAACCCAAATGGACTCAATCTCCTTGCTATTATCTTTGATATCCTCAACTTCAACAAGATGTAACTCACATTTTACATATAAGGCCACTTCTCCCCCTCTCTTTTATATTCTATCCCTATTAGATAACCTATAACCTTTTATTTCAAAGAAATTTCTGTCATCAAAATTGTCTACATTTAACCACATTTCCATTATTCCCATTATATCAAAATCCTCCATTCCTACCAGTGCTCTAAAGTCATTTATTTTATTTCTTATACTTTCTAGCATTACAATAGTAACAATTAAACTTATCCTTAGATCTACTTTGTTCCTGTGCTAAACTTTTCTCTGCATCTTATATTTTCCGCATTTAGTTTATCCTAGCCCTCACCACTGTCTAGTCCAAGTTTAAAACTTCTTTTATAGCTGAGGTAATAGCCCTTGCAAATTGATCCCACAAGTCCAACCAACCAATCTACACATCCTTACATATTAACACAAGCCTAGCATTCAATCCTAGTGACCTACTTATAATTTTATCCATAACACAATTTATGGCTCTTTTCTTTAAATGCCTTTATAAACCCCCATTTACTTATCAGTTAGCTTTTCTGATATACCTTTCCCCACATCATTAACCCCTATGTGCTCAACGAGGTCAGCATCCTTGCTAGCCCCCTTTATTATATCTTTTACTCTGTCAGTTATATCCTCCATCTGTGCCCCTGGATAGTATAATCTAAGTATTTTCTCCCTATTTATGCCACATACTGTCAAAGAATCACCTATAACTATAACCTCAAGCTAATCATTCACATCCTTTTCTATCCCTTTTGTTTTCCTTTCCTCCACTAGTTCCTCATCTGCATAAGCTAAAGGCTGAAATCTATTACTCAATAAAACATGCTCATTACAAATAAATTTACTGCTTTTAGTCCTAATAATACTCTTTCTTTGTTAGCTGATGTATCCTTTGCATGTAAAAGCTTAAGTTCCTCTTGAAATCCTGCTGCCATTTCCCACACTTTACACTTCTCTTTATCTATTGCCTCTACTTTAATTATGATAGCCTCCAACCTACAAACTCTACATACAAATTGCACATCTTCACTACTAGCGTCCTTAAATGTTCATACCAATCTCGAGGTCCCAAGTAAAACCCACTCATTGCATCAATTATGCCTAACAAACTGTGAACACTTAACTCCAACACTAGTCTTAACCAATATATTTGTAGCCTGAGAATAAATATTCAATGCTAAACACCAGTAGCTCACTGTCAAAATGAATTTCAAAACAAAACAGTTTGGTGTATTACTGGTTGAGAAACGTTTAAAAAAGTTGATAGGGTTGTGCATCATTGGTTATACTAGGGTTAACTTCTATGAGTCAGGAATTATTAAGTAACTTCAGTTTTTAACATCAATGAAAAGTGGTTGCTTAAACTTGGTTATGAAAATTTATTTTGAACAAAATCTTAATTTTATGGCAAAAAAAAGGTAAGTATTTTCATTTAACATAATTTTACTTCTTGATTGCTGGTTTTTGGAATAATAATTTAATAACTTATGTAATTAAAAAACTTGCACCCACACAAAATTAGATTGGAAATTAATCTTAAAGAAAAATGCATGGTAAATGGAAATCTTAATATCTCTTTATGCTTCATAGCCTTAAAGTCTGCCTAAGGCAATCATTTTATTGTCTACAGTAGATAAATATAGACCTTTTTATAGGTAATTATTATATATTGTAAATCTTTCATATATTTTATGTCCACATGTATTATATATTTTAATTAAAAGAGACAAATGTATGAAGACCAAAGATGTATTTTATGTATGGTGGTAAAATATTTTAATTTGCATGTAACAAAAGCACAGGTTATTAGCACTATTGAAGAAGGTCAGAGTACTTATAATTAGTAATAAAAATAAACAAGGTTAAATGCAAGTTATGCAAACCATCGAATTTTCTTTTTAGCCTACCTCAAAAGAAAACTCCAACCCATTTAAACATACAAACCTATCTAAGCTATCAACAGTTTGAACAGACATATTAAATTTTTTCAGGTTCTCTGTTACTCCAGCATAAACATATCTGAATGTTCAAGTCTTTCCTCAGTCTTGTTAAACATATCATCATTCTAGTAATTGTTTCTTACCAACAGGTAGTTGTATTTCTTATTATGAGGAAACCTAAAACTGAACATAGTACTTCAAACAGGATATAGTAATTTTCTTTCATAAGACTAAAATTTCTCAGAATCCTATATTGTCAGCCAAATTCTATGTTTTTCTGAACTTTCACAGTCAAATCTTTCTTTCTGTCCAAAACATAATCATTATTGAACCCCATTTATCATTCTTGAGAACTCTCTAAGCTTATCTAGGTCATTTTGAATCAAACAAGATCCTCTTCAGTATCAGCTCTTCTTACTAGCTTATTATCATTCAGAAATTTAGATAATTTACAGGTTATGTTGATATAAATAGTATTCAACAAAGATTCCTTGATCAGATTCATTCATTTAGTCAGAAACTTGCCATTTACAGGAAACCAATTTTCAGTCCTAGGAGAATGTGATAACACTTTTAATTTTGTGGTATTTTGCCAAGTGTATTACCAAAAATACCCACATCTAAAAATGATTGCAAAAGCCTTGTTAAAATAAATTTATGCCTCTCATAAAGTTAGTAAAGTTTATTTATCATGTAGAAATATAGAATCAGTTTATTTTCCAATAATGAGAAATGTTCTTCAAAGAGTGAGTACAGGAAATAAACCTAATTTTTTCCATGTGCAAGTTTTGTGTAATGAGTTACACACACATCAGAAACTTCTTTCAGTGTGTGACTAGGGAATGAGTTGCCTTTATATATTGTGGAGCCATTAAATTTAAGTGAGTTTAAGAGAAAGCTTGAAAAGTATATGAATGATAAGGGCTGGCTTTAAGATTAAAAAAAAATTATTTATCAATAGTTTTAGTTTAGTTTTGAGGATGGGACAACCTAGGTGGACCAATAGGTACAATGTTGTCCCAAACCATTATGTTATGTTAACTACATGTCTTTAAGGACAGGCCTGACCATGCCTGTAACTAGTGTCTTTAAAAACAGTCCTAACCATGTCTTTATGTATCTTTAAGGACAGTCCTGACCACATCTGTAACTACTTGTCTTTAAGGACAGTCCTGGCCATACCTGTAACTACTTAAGAAAACCACAAACTTAACATTATGATCATTCATATATATGTATATGCTATAGATTTTTTATTTTAACTGTTACATGTACCAGTGGAGTCCATATGCTTTTTAAGAACATTTTCAAAACTAATTGTGCATCAAATTGCTTTGGGTACATGGTCCCTAATAATAACATACGAATCAAAAAATATAAACAAAAATCTGTATTGTAATTAATTCCAATCAGTTACTTCTAAGATCATCAATGTATATTTTCAGCTGAAAATTAGTGATTTCAACCCAAACTGTTTACCAGTTTTGTATGCTGATTGTTGTATTAGTCGAAATACTAAGATTACTCAATATAAAACAATATATGGATACCCCCACTATTAATAAAACAGTATAAAACCATTCTATAATTTTTACGGTTAATTTAGAAATTGATACGGTCCAGAATTGCAAATATTTCTACATACATATGTACATTTATCTGACAAAATGTAACTTTGATTTGTTTACATGAAAAAAAAGTAAATACTTTGTTTATTCACTTTTATGCAAACACTTGCATAAACCTTTAATATGAAAAATAAATGACACCATTTTTCCTTAGGGAGCATTCATTAGCAGAAGAAAGTAGTTCATCTGATACATTGGAGTTAGGCATTCAAAGTTTACAGAGCAAAGCTGATAGTCAGAGCTCATGTAGTCTGCCTAGTAATAATGACACTCAGTGCATAAGAAGCAAGATGGAAATAGATGGAAATGAAGATAGCTTAGCAGCTTCTAAAAGTAGTGGTATTGAAATGATGAGTAGCCCAGAGTACAGTTGTGAAAATCTTAACAGCAATTCTAGTATTAGTGTAGACGTCTGTAATGGTACACCTTTACTGAAAGAACCAACATTTCCTACCTTAAAAAAACGGAAATAAAGAAGCACAAACATGAACAAAATAGGAGTAATATTCCAAACAAAAAAGAGAAAAAGGATAAAGAAAAATCTCAGCATTCCAAAGGAGGAGTAAAAATAGTTAAGCAAAAGAACCACAAGAAAAATAAAGAAAAAGAGCTATGTAAAGAGGAAGAGCAGGTCAACAAAACTAATTCATTTAAAACAAAGTCTAGAACTAAGAAAATTGAATCAGATCCTGAATGCCCTTCAGATTTTATTGAAGGACCTTGGGGGAGATACATTCCAGAAGAGATACTTGTTTACATATTTAAAACCATAGCCCGTAAAGACGGTGTGTTCCCTTTGTTACCAAGGTAAGTGGGAATAGACTTTTCTGTGCTTTCTTTTTATCACTTGAAACAATGGTGAAATTTTCCAGACTCAGAACTTGTGTCTATCTAGTTTATTATTTGCACTTGACATAAATGAAGTCTTTAACAAGGTTGCTTTATATTCGACCAACTTTTATTAATATGATTAAAGATTCTTCAGTACCATTCATTTATATTGATTAAGTTATGCATTAAAAATATCCTCTGTGCATCTCCTGTTTTTGTTATTTTTGCTGTTATTGCTTTCTAGAAAAAAATAAAATGAAAGCTAAAGTTTATTTTAATTCGGCATTTCCCTACTAGGGATCCTACCAAGGATCCAGTCTGTGAAAAGCAATAAAAATGATCTTCACAGCTTTCTTTCTTCAAGATTTCTTAGCAATTTTTATTCTTATGAGAATTTGATTAAACTAACTGTAAAAAAAAGTTAAGATGAATCATATGTTTATAACTAATAACTTTATAATTGATATTGTTGCTAGGAATAATTTTTTAATAGAAAGTATGTTAACAGTATTTTAAAAGTCACAGTTAATTTCCTACAAAGCTAGGCCAGCATTTTATGATGTAGGTATACAGTGTATCCCAAATTTCTACAAAAAAATCATAGCAGTGATAAATGTATGTATAACATATAATATTTTATTTTACTGTAGAGTTTCAAGGGTGTGTAAACTATGGAACAAAGCTGCTCAAGACCTTTCACTTTGGGAGTATGTTGATCTTTCTTGGGGAAGAATCTGTCGCTCAGAAGACCAGCTTATTCGGCTTAGCAATCAGTGGCTAAAACGTACATCTGATCTCAACTTAACTGGATGGGGCACCACTCTGACATGCAGAGGTGTTTCGGTATGAGTAATGACTTATTTTTGTGTGAGGTGTCCTGTGTAGAATTTATATTGTATGATACATTGTAAAGTATGCTGTTTTAAAGTAAACTAGACCACCCGTGTCCCGTTGGGTCACCCACTATTCAGAGGTTATGAAGAATTCAAGCTAATTTCAATATTGCACCAGAATGAAGGTTTATTTTGAGATAATTTAATTAAATATTTCAATTCAATTGTGTAATTCATAATTCAAGAAAAGATATTTGATTGTTGATCAGGAGTAAAAGGAAAGACAATTTCATTTTTCAAAAAAGTGAAGTCAGAATTTTCAGGTATTGTGATGAATTAGTTCATTATGTTGTGGTCTTTCCTCTTAAACCTTCTACAAATAAGAAACAGTAAGACTTTATTTTTTCTCAAATTACCCACCATAACCAAAGCACATTATTGAGAAATTCTTCAAGATCTTGTTTTTGTCATTTTACGCCTTTTAATGAAGATGGGAACATTGACAGGGAACTAGATTTGAACAAAGAAGTTTTGTAAAGAGTGCAAATGGTAGTGTGATGTAAAATTACTCATGCTAGAAATTTTCATAAAAGTGATCCGAAAAATGGTGCTAACTCGGTAACCCGTGGCCCGATTTTAACGAAACTTGTTTTATTCTGTTTCTATTCTCATTGCATTACAAATATGGCATTATTATGTGTCGTTTTTACTGTATTTAATTACATACAAGCACACAAACAAACAAACAATCTCGGAGTTTAGTAGTATATAGATAATTGATTCAACAGAGATATTTGTAACAAACCTGATGTGCCAACTGTTAATCAGTTAAATAGATCTCTGTATCCTCATCAGTTATAAGGAAATTAATATATAAAGCTAAGTTTGTGTATCTTTGTTTGCACCTTGAGACACAGTGATATAGAATGACATTAGGAAGGGTTTTGGACCCCCCCACCCCAAAAAAATCTAATTTCATATCTCATTTTGGAAAAAAACTACCAAATCAGCACAACTTTACACAGTGATGCAGAATCACATGAGGAAGGTCATGGAGAGTGGGGGTGTTGATCCCTCCATATAATTTCATATAATGACAGCATTCTTGAAAACATTGTCTTTCTTTTCAGTATTGGTACCTATATGTATTTTTATTGCACTTTTAATTTATTATGTTAAGAAAAAAAATAGAAGCACAATTTCCTGTCCTTTCTTACAAACAAGGTGTGACAAGTTTTCCCCACAGAGTGGTGAATCAATCCTTGGATTTTCCAGTGGTTGTGCTCTTGTCTGGACACTGCTCTCATCAATGCTTCTGTCACTTCCTACAATGTCAAGCTTCCCCTTTTCTGGTCTCCTGTTCTGCATCCATTGGCTTTGGTATTGGATGCATTCAGTCAGAACTGGTCCAACTTCTCTCTATGCTTACATCCTTATTTGTCTCCTCCCTCATTTGGGACAATCCTTGTCGGATCCTTCTTGTGGCACCCTATTGGCCAGCTCAAACATGGTTTCCTCGGTTGAATATTCCACAGTCCTCTCCCCTTCCTCTCTTCTTTGACTTCATTCTTCTCCATCTGCCATATAGCCATATTGTCACTCAAGCATGGAATTTGTCCAATCCCTTGCTAGTCATTTCAAACTCTCATCATGTGTGGTCTTCCTTCTTTCTCATTCTGTTCAACTATCCTCCCTCCTTGTCAACCCATTTTCGTCATTCTGTTCCCAATATCTCTGAATCCCATGAATTTTTGACCAGGGTTTATTGGAGTCAAACATTTCTGGTTACTGGGCAGCTTTTTCTTTTATTTTCTGGTTTCCTGTTACTGCCATTTTTGTTTCTCCACAGTTCTTACTATACTCTTCCTTTCACCTTCTTCTTGTCATCCCAACTGGGACCTGAATGTTGTTCTCCACAATCTTACCCTCCCACTTTGATCCTTTGGCATCCTGTTCCTTGTACATTTCTCCTTAAAACCTATTTTCTCCTCCTTTTTGCAGGTGGTCATCAATATACTGATATTTATGCCATATTCTTCCTGCACTCTTTTCCAACACTTATGCCCTTTTTTTTTTATCCCAATCATGCTTTTCTCCCTAAAACATCTGTGTTATGCGAGTGTGAAAGCACCTTCAATCTTATATTTCTTACATTTATTTCTCATCTTTATTTTTGCTCAGATCCTGATAGCCTACTCTGTCCTGTATGTGTGATCAATGGTTATTTGGCCTACACTGCTCTCTTTTGGGGTTTCTGATCTTGTCTCTTCATTCCTTGGAGTCCTTTCAGCTGTGATCTTTCTCTCATTACCTTTACTGGATGGCTTCATCAACTCATCCATTTTGCATATTCTGTGAATGGAGATTCTCATCAATGCTTTCAGGCATCCTCACATGAAATCCAGCACCTTACACATACTGTGACTGCCTGTTGTTGTTATCTGTTGAAGGAGATTGTTTGGGCTGGCTTATGGACAACCCCTCACACTTGTCATACACTATCTCCATCATATGGCCATATCTTCTTCATTGGGCTATGGAATACTTCCAATTGCCATTCTCTACACATCTTAAAGTCTCTGACTGGGTAAATTCTTTTTCTTTATCTTAATGCCTTACTGGATCCCACTCAACAAAATCTGCACTGTGTAAGGCTTAATGTCCTGATATAGCACTCACTGATTAGATGAGGTGTTCCACAAGACTGCTTGAGGTATTCTCGAGGTAGTCATTTTCTTAAGTAAGGCCTAATCTAGACCGTATCCACTGATGGACTATCATGAGTAAAGCAGGCAGGGGATCCCTGCCAATCCTCCAATCCTAGTTTAGAACTTAGTGCTGCCCTGTTTATATCAAAATAGAGTTTTCATGGTCATCCATTGCACTGTCTTGCAGTAATGCTCTCCTACGGGCTCCCCAACATGTTTTCACCCCCATTTTTCTTCGAGTGAAGCATTAGAGTCCTTGCCACTTACTAGTTCTTATCTGATAGGGTGGTAGATCATGAAGGCTGCCTTCTTGAGTGTGACTGACAAAACACCACAACACAGTTCACTCCTCTGGCTGACTTTCCACCATCCTTCTGCTTTCTGGATGTTGGGTAATGTGATGTTGGATTGGTGCAGGACCAGCCAACACAAGTCTTCACTAAGTTCCAGTTCAGATGCTGAATTCCTATTCTGCCTCACTGGGCTTGAGATGAAGATGGTAGGGACCCTCTTCCTACTGTGGCCAGGATGACACATTCCAGGTGCTGCATGGTTTTGGAGTAGAACTGACCCACCATGGATGGTCTGATGTGTCATAGTCACACTACACATAAAGCACTTCCATGTTCCTGGTGCAGGTTCTGGACTGTTTTTGTTCTTGTGCTCATCCTGGTGACACTTTCCTTCTTTATGGGTGAAGAGTGTACTCTGATACAGAAGAGGTGCAGCCTCCAACAGGTGTGCCCCTATACTGATCCATGATATAGGGTGGCACACTACATGGGTTCCCTTTGGGCACTTCTCACCAACACCGAAAATGTATTTCTGAAGGATACCTCCTCTCACACTTCCCATCATTTCTCCCTACTTCTGGTGCATCTTACTTTCTTGCCTAATCTTGAAGTGATGATTGAAAAACCAGTATAGAGGAAGTCCGCTGTGCTAGGAGGGTGTGTCACACTCCCATTGGTGGAGGATTGTCACGTGCTCATTTGCATGTAACAATTCAGCAATATCATGTGGAAACATGAGAGTTTAGGTGGGAACCTCAAGGCTAGTAGTGAACAAAAAAACTTGCATATAAAGGGCAGCACTGGATTGAGAAAGGTATGTGTGAGAGGTGGTGAGTATCAACTGAAAATACATTTTCAGTGTAAAAAAATGTTAACTTTCAAGTTACTGGGTTGTTTGCACGTTAGTATCTTTTTCACTCCAAGTAACATGGAATGTTTCTGAAATCTCAAAGAGAGATCTGAAATGCTAGCAAGTACATAACAAAATGTTAGTAAAAAAGAAAAATATAGCCTAACTTGAACTATTATAAAAGAAAGGCTAAAATATTAATATTATTTGTATCTTTAGAAAGAAATTGCTTAATATTCTATTTATAATTACAAAATTAAATTATCTTTGGTTATACTGTTAGAAAAAAATCTTAAACACCCAGATATTTACCAAACTGATATGAAATGCAGGCTACCTTTTCAGTAGTTGCAAAAGCAGAATGTAGTTTTTGCTTTTTTTCTTACCTTTAAGTTATTTATTTTGAATTATAGTAATGAAAATACTGTTCAATATATATTTTTTCAAATTATGTATTACATACTTTAAAAATATCTTTTGAGTAAATGTACTGAAAAGAAGGATAAAATAAACTTATCAACTAACTATTGAATGCACTAATACAGGAAAAAATATTTTAAGAAGAGATTAAACTTGAATGCTATAATTTATATTTAGATGTGATTTTTAAGTAATGTGCCATTAAATATTTAATTTAAACTTATCTCTGATTGTTTGGTTTGTAGCTGGATTGTTATGGATTTGCTGTGGAAACACTGGTTTTCAACAAATCTCTATCTATTAGGTCAAACATTTACCATCATGTATACAGTTAAGCTAATAGAGTTTTACAATGCTTATGGCTCCAACATTGTTGTAAACATTGTTATGAACATGTTAAACAATACTGAATTTTAATGGCTAGCACAATCTCTGTATAAATAGTTTTTGTTCTTAATATTGATTGTATTTTTTAGTTGCACTTACCCCCATATATATATCATATTTTCCAGGCCATTGCCAAATCTTGCCCTCTGCTGACAAGTATTAGCCTTGGCCAATGCACCCGCATATCTCGAGAATGTATGCAGCTCTTGGCTGATCACTGTCCTAATCTGACCAGCATTGATCTCTCAGGAGTATCCAAGGTTGGTGGGAAAATTGACGAATATACCCTAAAGTTTAAAATCATATCTATCTATCTATATACATGTGTGTGTGTGTTTGTCTGTTATCTAACTACTACTAAGTTGCTGGGCCAATCGCAACCAAACTTTGTGGGATGATAGTTCAGAACAAGGTGCATGTTAAGAGTAAATAACCTCCTCCACCCCCCACTATTGCTATTGTTGAGCATTTATTATCTTTGATGCAAGTTAACATTAATTACATTCACAGATGGCACCACATCCTTACACAAAATGAATATTGAATTTTCTATAAAACAAAATACACAAAGTGTGGGGGAAGGCACACAACTATCTTGTTTATCTATGGGAGAATGCAATGGAAAAAAATGGTTGCCACTATTTCAATAATACACAAACTCGATGGCTGATATGAAGAGCTGTTTCTCGAGTTATACCCACTTCCTACTTTGACCCGGGACATTTCAACTTTGGCTCATAAGACACTTGTGTGGCTAATGACTATAAATTAATTAATCACATGAAACACTATGGAAGGACATTATGATCCGGGTGTTCAAAGTGGGTAACAGAAAGCACCCTTACCGCCACTGTTTTGACCACTACCTCTTAATACAAAGTCACCCTGACCATTGCACAGTGTAAACCATGTTTTATGTGTATACATATTGAGTTCTTAAAGTTTATACAAAACTTTTGTTGAGTTAATAATGAATATTGTAATAATGTTTTGTGTTAAAATTAAATTGTGTGAAAGTTAGGATTTTTGTGTTATTTATCAAAGCATCAACTCACACACATTTTTAAGAGTTCATAATCTGGACAACGAACGAGTACCTCAGCTTGTTTTTTTATAAAGAAGAAGTATGTTTTTTCCCACCAACATACGAAACTGTTTGCTGTACATTGTTTTATTTGAGATAGAAAACATTACAATAATTTGTTGAAGACAAAAAATAAAACCTACAAACTGTATGAACTTGAATTTTTTAAGCATGCCTGTATTCAATGCAAGAAAAAACATTTTAAAGCATTTTTTTCAGTGAACATTCTTCTGTATGATGTAGCAGCATGAATTATGCAGCTGACATTAGTCTACGAGTCGCACATTATATAATCAGAAGTTTAAACTATGATTAAATATACTCAGAGTTGGTGTATGTAACTAATATTAATCACCTTGCTTTCAGAGATATAGCAGTCAACATAGTCCTCTTTCACCAGCAAGTCTCAAGTATCTAGTCTCTCAATGTGGAAAGAGACTTACTCGCCTCATTTTGGCAGAAAATGAAGTTGCAGCAATGAGTTCAGTATTAAATGCTATCTGTGTAAGTAATTGTCTGTTGTGTAACATTTTGTATTCTGTGTTTTAGTTCCAAAGATGTCTACAGTCATTAAGTTTTCTGATTTTTTCTCATGATAACAATTAGGATAACTACTGTTATGTACTTTAAATCATTTGTGCATTTTTATGGATTTTTTCTTGATAAGTTATTTCTTGATAAGTCTGTCTTATTTTACATGTTCACTTCCAAACTTTTTTTTTATTTCAGGCTGGTATGTTATGAACTAAAGTGTTTATGACAAGTTCAGCATTTCTTTGCTGTCTCTTAATTGGGCAAACGATCTTTGATCCCATTATAGGTTATGAAAATTAATTGTGCATGATACGTACATTATATTAAAATGATTTTGAATGTATAAAGTCATAGTCAAATCACTGTAATTTTCTCGTCATGACTGGGGTACAACTTGTAGGCATCTTTCCAAATGTTTCTAGTGCCTAAGTTGATTCATATAATTTTAACTTCAAATGCCATAAAGTACAAGGGATATTCCTGTCTTGGAAGTTATAAACCACCATTAGCAATATGTATTTATAACCTGAGTGTATGAATATTTGGTTTTGAAAATTGATCAGTTTTCAATGGCATCACACTACCTAGGAAATGCCAAAATGTAGTATTGAAACATTTCTCTTGTAACAGATGTAAATCCAATAATGCACAGATCAGTTGCAAAAGTCATCTATGTGCCCCAGGCAACATTACATAAGTTAATCAAGAAGGATCTCCAACTGGAAACAAAGCCAGCAAAGTATGGGTATGGGTTTACCAAGATAAGACTTCCAGGTAAGATATACAGGTCAAGTCACCAAATCCAGCATCTAGGAATTGCTGTGTGATCGGACTATTTAAATGGATGTTAGAAAATCATCATTCTCATAAACTGGGTGGATTATGGAAAGGATTCAAGGAGGAGGAGTGTACTTGGCTGTAACAAGAGATCCTTTTGCAATGGAAACTATGCTGCAAGACTTTTCAAGATGTATGGTCATCAGTTAGAGCATAGCTGCAAATGATGACATGGACTGTAATGAGGTGACAATGTTATAAAATTATAGGCCATGGGCTTTAGTTATGTATAAAACTATCTAATTTTCTTCCTTTTTATCTCACTAAGTTGGGTCAAGTAATAGTAGTCTGTCACTTAATTGTAAATTACACAGAACGTGATAACAAGGTGTGTGGCAGGGTGTGTATTAACTAGGATTTGAAACTGCTTATCCAAGTTTTTTACTGAAGGGCCAAAGGTGCAAATCTTCTTGGATCCATGAAGTGCCAGCGGTGCAAACCTTCTTGGGTCTGTGAAGTTTTAGATGCTCCAAGATGCATTCTGTGGATATCTGATAAGAAGATAATAAAAATGTAACAGCTTTTACATACATTGATTTTTACCTTTTTCATGTGTTTAACAGGGAAATATAACCAACAGTTTTATATTTGCAGGTCTTTATTTCAGTTGCATATAATTGTATCCTCTAGTTCTGCTTCAAAATGCTGCCAGGTCAATAGCTAATAATCAACTGCATGATAGATGATGGCATAATATTCTAATGTCTCAAGTGTTTATTTAATATTATTAAGTTTATCGTAATCAAACAATATCCTTTTCAGTAAATAATAAGTTATTTTGTTTGTGTACATTATTTGAATATTATAAACTTAACAATAACATTCAATAAGTAAGGATTTGACTCATTGGAATATTTTACATGATCTACAGTACTTAGAAACTTAATGAAACTTACCTTTAATAGAAGAAAATTTCTGTAGCTTTAAAACATTTTTAGGAATGAAAGGAATATTTAATGAAACTTTCACATATCTATAGTTTGTTCCTAAGTCTTCTGAACTTTTCGTTAGATTCCTTTGTTTGCCATTACAGGAGCTCCGGCTGGTTATTTCTCCAGTAATCATAAGTACTGCTCAAATTATTCACTCTTCATTGATCTAAATAGTATATATTTTGCTCTTTTCAATCATATTTAAAAATTGCCTATAGTCATTTTCAAATCTGAGCTTTGTTAATAATTGTTCAGACCACATGCAGTGACATATAAAGTGGCAATAAAGGGCAGTAGTATTAAAACAAGGTGAGAATAATTATAGTCTCAACAGACCATAACTTCTCAGCAAGTAAACCTGTACCTTGGGATGGGCAGAATAATTCTAAAAATTTAAATAAATGCATTGTTTACAGGCAGAACTTCTAGGAGCTGTGAAGAAGTGAAACTTGGAACATTTTTCTCATATTTCTTTGTGAATTACTCTAAACAAGTATACATAAAGACAAAATATCAATTTAAGATATTTTATATTAAAAATTGTTGAAATAAATTTAAAGTTTGATACACAGATCTGCACTCAAAACTGAAAAGCACATTGGGCATCATATGGTTAAGTGAACAGTTTATTGACAATCTGTGCAAGATAATTATACTAAGGGTCATCAATTAAAAATAAAAACTTTTGCAGCCATATGAATTTTAATTTATATATATTTCAGTCAGTTACTATAGTATTAGGGAACAAAGAAAATACCAGTTTTGTTAAACATACAAGCAAAAAACTTCAAGAATCTGGTAAAATTTGACATATTTCTGAAAACTTTTGAAAACTGGAAGATTTTTAAGTCATTCCCGAGTTCATCAAAATTTTGCTTTCAGACAGTGAATTTACAAAACACTTTTACACAATTAGGAAATGCAACTCAGTCTGTTCATTTCCATAACTTCTATTGTCTTTCTTTTTAGAAGAAGATTAGACTGGAAGAACTAGTAGTTAAATCTTGGAGTGTTGTACTTGGAAAATTCCCCAAGATTGACAGAAGTTGCTTATTACTGTGTACTCTCACTGTCTACTAGAGTGTTGTGTTTTTTTTGTACCTATAGCCTTATTTGTTTCTAGGAATCCTGCCCAAGGCTAGAAGAACTTGATATTTCAAACCTTACAGTGCTTGGAGGAAGCTTGGTCCTGTTTCCAGAACAACTTCAACATGGTTGTCCTAATCTCAGAATTTTGCGTGTGGCAAATTCTCCACTATCTCTGTCTTCTGTCTCTCTTGCTAAACAGGTAAGAACCAACCAGACTGAGTATAATTCATGCAGTTTGTGAAAGAAATACATGAATGTAAACAAATTACAATTACAAACCATTTTTAGGTTACCTTAAGATTTTTGACTATTGTACATTTCAAGTTCAGATGTTGCAGTACATGTTACTAGGAGCTTTCAGTTTTAAATTATGCAAACTATAAGCATTTGAAATTACAGCTTTGTCTTAGATTATTTCTTTCACTGTAAGCTGAAGCATAAATTGACAACTTTTGAAACAGAAATTTCACATTTACAAATCCATTCTGTCAACAAAGCTGCACACTTCTAAAGCATGATTTCTGAAACACATAAATTCCACATTTACAAATCCATTCTGTCAACAAAGTTACACACTTCTAAAACATGATTTTTGAAGCACATAAATTTCACATTTACAAATCCATTCTGTCAACAAAGTTGCACACTTCTAAAACATGATTTCTGAAACACATAAATTCCACATTTACAAATCCATTCTGTCAACAAAGCTGCACACTTCTAAAACATGATTTTTGAAGCACATAACTTCAACATTTACAGATCTGTTCTATCAACAAGACTACTTATTTTTTAGAAGATAAATTTCAAAACACATAAAGTCCACATTTACAAATTCATTCTTTCAACAAAGCTGCACACTTCTAAAACATAGTAATTTTTGAAGCATATAGATTCTATATTTACAAGTCCATGTTGTCAACAAACTACACATTGTTACGGTATTAACTGTCTGGCACACATATTTAATAATGTGACGAATCAGCTATCTTATCACAGTTAACTCTTTCAGCATGGGCTTGGTCCCTGGGACTGAGTTAGTAACCATTTTGTGCTTGTTATAGTTTTCATGCTATAACTCTTAAATTAGCAAGTGTATGTTCACGAAATTTGGCAGATTATCAGTAAACATTACAAGGCTTTCATACGTAAAATATCAGATTTTTTTATTAAGTCTTTAGGTTTGTTAAGCATTGTTTATCTCATGCCTTTTTTCTTTTCACGTGTTACCTATCCAACATGCAAATTAATTTTCATTTTAAGATTAAAAATACTTCTTTGTATCAGGAAATTTTCAAATTTCACAAGCAAAATCTTTATTACATCCAGCCAGTTATCAAATGTTTCTTAAGAAAAAAGTTTATATTATATGTGTTATTTCACTAATGAATCTCTATAACC